CATTTATGGTTTGATTTCTTTGTATGTATGGATCACTTGGGTTGTTACCAACATCTGGTGAAAATTTCATGTCATTAGCACCTCTAGTAATATAATTTACTGAGAAAAATGTTGACGTGTTCAATACTTATTTTACCCGCTGTAGCTTGCTCACACCGATGACCTATCCACGTCGTCATTTACCCAGAATGCTCTCTGTGTAAATAAAATGGCTCCGTCAGTGTTAAATTATATTTTTAAAAATTATGAAAACTTAACAGCTTCCAGTATTTTTACAGTCTTTGTTTTACAGTTAAATAAAGGTTTATCAAATAAAGTCTAATGTTACAACTAATTGGGGATCCCTTTAAATCAGATGTGATCAGTTACCGCTCTTCACAAAATGCTTATATGTTCTTCTTGCTTGAGTAATTTCTTGGACGGCTAATTTTTACTTTTGAGTCAAAATACGTTGTAGTGCTACTCTTAGTGAGTATAGTGTTCGTGTTTTCGACCCACCTTTGGTTGTGGGTCTGAAAAGAGGGAAGACTGCACCACATAGCCACATTATCTCTGTAAGAAGTGGCTTCAGTGGAGGCTCGTTTCGACCGGCTCTCATTCCTCATCAGCAAAAAAACACGCAACACCTCTCTGACACCGCCGGGCATCGATGGGCAGTTTGTTGGAAACCAATAAATATGGTGTGGCTAATCACTGCTCATCATCCAGGCTAGCGTCAAGCTTCATAACAAACACCAGCGTCTCTCAGCAACACAGCTCACCAACGCACATGGGCAAAACTCACACAAACAGTGAAGATGATCTAATAAGCTCCAGGGAGTATAACTGCATAAACCAATCAATATCACCTCATTAGGAGAACTGTTTTGGTTAAAAGGTCAATCTCAGCACCCGTAAGAGGCCTTTCACTGGAAAACATTATCATGCTTGAACACAGAAACAGGTTTACCTACAAACACCTGAGCTGTGACACATTTACAGCGAGGGACGTGAGCGGAGTGAGTCTCCGAGACACTTTGGAAAACGCTTGTTTTGTTGTTTGTAATCAGCCTAAACTCTGCTTTCACACCGGAGGAACGTGGAGAGAGTTCAGCAGGAAGCACAATGTGATACGATGAAAATATGTGTTTTCTACTGACGTCTCCAAGAGCATCCAAACTGGTTTCTTTTTTATTTTACAACTGGAGCTTTTTTAGTTGAAGTTAAATCAGAAGAATTACAGCTAAAACATGATGTTTTTCTCATCCAAACAGGTGGTGGGGTTTTGCCACCTGTGCACTCCCCCACCGTTTTTACCCAGAGAAATAAACGACAGAAAGTGTAAAAAAAAAAGGCATTTGTTGTTTAGGAAAGTGTTTGTTTAAAGATTTTAAACTCAAAGAGTCTCCTTTGTGTTTGCAACAACATAAACCAAGAAAAATAATGTGTCTCAACGTGACTGTGGACCTCCTGGTTGTTTACACACTGTTGGGGTGACATCACACCACCGCTCTTTATTATCTTATGTAAGTGCGGAAATGCAGGTTTTACTCCAGTAAACAATCCACAGCTTCACTTAAAGATTAAATGTAAAGTAAAAACCTGAAAATGTTTTTAAATTAGCTTAATGGAAGATAAAATTTGAAAACTGACAATTGACTTTTTAAGCTTACCTTTATAAAAGAAGTTCTGACACTTTTTTATATTAAATCAACAATTGTGCATTAATAAAATGCAATTTACAAACAGTTTAGCAAATCAAGAGTTTGTAGTTTTTTTATAACACCATTTCCTACACTGTATATACTGGTGTAATGTGCTTGTTTTTACTGGAAAACATCAAATCTAACAACTTATTCATCACTACAGGGATCAAGGTTTGCATCTGTGGGCACATTTCGCATTTTTTTATGCTGCACTGACGGAAAATTGAATTAAAACTATCTTTATAGTTTATGCAAAATCCTCAAATCTGCAGTAAAAATCAAAGAAAGAAATTTAAGACATTTTGAATTTTTTTAATGTTAGAATAAATTTAAAAATAAATGCATGGAATAAAAGGCATTGTTACCCTTTATAAACCCCCCAATTATCACATTTTCTAACTTGGAGGAGAGACGAAACATTTCATTAAAGAAGAACCCGTCCAGAGGACCTGCTTCTTTTTTTTCTTTGACATTTTCTGACACTTTTAAAGCTGTAGGTTAAGCTAGTTTGAATACTGATTTTTAAAATAAATCAGTCATGAAAAATAGATAAATGTTCAGGTATTGGGTGTTATATCTTGTACCAGTGTCGGGTCTAGGATTTTTCTGAATAAGGGGTCATAGAGGGGCCAAGTATTTGTTCAACATCCTTGCACACAAATCTCTGGTTTTGGTAATGCGTATATATTTAGCCAGTCACACGTTTAAACACCTGTAATTTAAAAAAAGCTTGCACAGTAAATTCTCCTAACCAATTTTACATGAATTTTTACGGTACATAGATAAAGTACTGTCAAACACAGCATGTGAGAGAACCCAGCCATCGTTTGAGAGTTGAAAGACTTTTTTCTGTAGGGTTGTTGAAATTTTAAGAAAAGAAGATGACTTCTCTCAGCTTGATTCATGCTGGACTTTTCTATTTGGCTCATTAGCGCCTCTACTGTTTGGACATGGAACTGCACCCAGCACCATCACTCTTGGGCAAAGGACAGATGAGTGACAGGACAGGGACACTTCTGGGGGCCAATCAAATTTCAGCAGGGGCCAATACCCCTGTGGTCACGCCCCTAGAACTGCCCCTATCTTGTACTGATTTGGACCTTTTTAATCTACGTCACACTAGGGTTGGGCAATATTGCCAAAAACATTAATCATGATTAATTGTGGTATTTAGGCGATAACGATTAATTTGACGATTAATCCCCTGGAGTCCCTGGTCACCCTTTAGTCACATGACCAATTTAGTGGGAAAGATTCTTCATAAAAATTTTGTTCCAAGTTGTGTCAAAATTGCGGACTTCTTCAGGCCATACATCAAATTTAAAATTGTGTTGATAGATAAATTAATTACACAACTTTTTTCGTCATATTTGAAGCAGAGAGGAGCACCGAGCGGACTGACTGACATTAATCGTATTAATCGTCAAGTGCCAAAAAAAAAATCGATTAACGTTTTTCTGACGATTAATCGCACATGATATGATTATGCCCAACCCTACGTCACACTGACACTGCTGTATTTTTCAGTTCTCCAAAACAAAACAAAAAGACAAATTTATTAACAGAGAACATTTTGTTTGGACACAAACTCACCCGATGTTTTGTCAACACAGAATCATTCTTCTCCCACTGTAGTTGCTTCCTGCTGAGTAACGGGTTAGTACCTCATGAGTATTGAAATGATTGAACAGTTTCTTACATTACAATAAATGCACAGATGAGACAAACACTCAGATTTTATACAAATCCCTCCGAGACAAAACGGTGTCCATAATATTCAATCTGCAGATGTTTTGCTAAAGGTAAAAACTTGCATCATTAGAAAAAGCAGCTTTGATTATTCTGACACATTCAACGCTGAGACCCATGCATCATCTTTTAAATTTTATTGATTCCTATAAGAGACATACATCAGTACTCTGAGACCAAATTAATATAAATCACGAGGCGAAGCCTGGAAAACAGAGAGAAAAAAAAAAAAACAGAATGCTGAAATGAAATCCCGCCCAGAGATAATGTATTTACACAAAATCAAATACTGACAGAGCTTTCAGAGGTGAAACATCCCCGTTTTCAAATAATCTGTGACCTGCAGGTTATTAAAAAAAAACAGGACAGTGTAGCTGCCACAATTCCTCTTGCAAAATATTATCTCCCCCTTATTGGGGAAAGGCTGTTTAATGATTTGCTGCCTGATCACTCAAAAAACATTTTTCCTCTTAGAGCTAATATTATTGGAAATAATTTTTTCATTTTACCCCAATCAATTGTAAACTTTGCTCTTGGTTAAATAAGGTTTTGTAAATTTCAGTCAGTAAAGCTGTTCTCACTCAGGTCTACTGAACTGATCATCATTCTTGTCGACCTTGATCAAAGTAACGCTTCGGCAAAGTGCATCAGTGGCAGATGTTCTGAAGAGGTGATATGTGAGTTAAAGTTATCTCAGAATAATTCTGACTACATTCAGGCAGCACGGCCGCCTGTGAACAGATTGAACCCTTCCATGGAGGCAGGCGCAATCTAAACCTGTTGGACCCGCAGTGACCCGCACTCCTGGTGACGCCGAGAAATCAGAACATCCGAGAGTGGCCAACGTAGAAGCCAGGCGTCATTTTCATTTTTAATTCAAAATTGGGAAAAAAACAAAAAAACAAAACAAAAACAAAACTGGAACACAAGTGTTTTTAAAACAACTAAAACTAAAGAAAAATTCAACATCTTGTTAGGTAAAATGAGCTAAAACAACTTCTGCAAACACTTCAGACTTGTAAATCATGACTTAAGAGGAACTGTGAACTTCTCCTACAGAAAATCAGCAAAAAAGAAAACATACAAAGTGTAATGGCACTTATAGAGAAAGTGACACCCAGTAGAGAGTAAAGTAATACAGAAACGGTCAAACCCGAACATTTGCAATCTCAGTCTGTGCACAAGCTTTATCCAAAACTTCCCCTCAAACAAATCTGTAGGCTTACACTCTTGGGATGAAAAACGGAAAAAAAAAAGATAAATGAAGGGTTTCATTCCAAAACTCAATATAATTCTGGAAAAAATAATCTCTCATTTTTGATAAACCAAATTAGAACTTTTTGTAAAATATTTCAAAAACTCACATTAAAACATTCTATTCAACTCCTTTTTTTCTATAAGTGCAGGTGCCGAATGGCCTGATGTCAAATAGGTCTTTCTGGAATGAAACTCTTCAAATTATTAGATATTAGATGACAAATACGGACGACCATGTAAACCAAACACCTACAATATACTGTAGCATAGTAGCCATTTGAGCCCCTTGCATTAACCCCCATGTGACACACTATTATTAAATAAGGCACACATTTACACATACAGTTAAAATTTGGCTAGTTATTATTCCTTTATTTACAACCAATAGCCACAACGTCAATAATTATAATAACTGCAGTCCATTCTGTGTTTATGTTCTTTCTCATAATACCATTTGGCATGTTTGTCATTTCCTCTTTAGGTCCAAAAATATACATTTTCCCCCCTCATTTAAGAGGATATTGGATCCCTCAGATCTGTAAGCACCAATCTTGAAGAATAAAGGTTAAAATAAAAAAAAACTTGTGGAACCTAAATGGACCCAAATTTGTCACTTCTGACGTGAATCTGAAGAAAAAGAAGCAGAGAAAAGTCAAAAGAATTTATGCTTAAATATTTTTCTTTGTATTGATACAAAAAGGGTTTTTAACCAGCAGGTTTTGTTGGTGAACTGCATTTTTTTGGTGTCTCCAAGATGTTTTTTTTGTTTGTTTTTGGGGAGTGGGTGAGCATTTGGTATGCCTCAAAAAATGAAAGTATAGTAAGGCAAAGACATAACTACTTTCAGGGGAGTTTGCTGACTTTTCACCACAGGTTACAAATACTGCATATGTATATGTATACATATACGGTGTGGATATAAACACACATATACTGTATATACACACACATGCATAATATAAACACATTCGAGTGTGGGGTGGGTGGGCACTGGGTACAAACACTACATCAAAAAAGGTTGAGCAAAAGCATGAACTGAAGAATTGCAGGAGCCTTCGGCTTTTAAGTCTTCAAGATGTGTCCGAGTATGTCCGTCAATTTGTCCCAAAAAAACAAACAAAAACAAAACAAAAAAAACCTGTTAAATTGTAAATCCACATTGAGGACATTGGCAGCCTAAAATAATGAGGTGGCATCACGTCATCCGAGTCAGTGGTTGTTTAATAAGCAAGAAGCTGAACAATACCAATATGGTACAAAGATATTTGTTGGACAAAAAGAAAAGTGGAAATAAGTTTGGTTGAGGCTTTTGTCCACAGTGAGACTTGCTACCACGCAATTTGTTTTGTTGTCCTGTGAGGGTCCGCAACCTCAAATCCACAAGATTTCTTCAAAAAAGAAGTTCCTTAAAAGATAACACAATCAATCCAAGAGAGTACCTTTTCAGTAGTTATATTTCCCTTGTTCATTGACTGGAGATGTAGCTGGAATGAACAGGGGCTTAGGAGGGACATCAGGTTTGAGAGAGGACGATCTGCGGACAATAGCACCTCTGTGTTGGACCTCCTGCTGTTCTCCATTATAGCTATGTTGGCGTGTCAGGTACCCGTTTGGGATGAGAGGATAATGAACCTCGCAAGCGCCTGTCGAGTTCATCTGGGCCAGGAGGAGAGGTGGTTGGTGAGGCCCACCGTTCCGTTGGCTGAAGCTGTGCTGGCGGGGGATCATTCCTCCTCCAACTGCGCCCGCACTGGGCATTTTGGTAGCTGCGGCGATCAGCGATTGCCGCTGGGAGGAGAGCCTCCTCTCCAGGGTGGACTGGTGGTGCGAGGGGATGTCAGGAGGGACATCCATGCGACGAGTCAGACTGTCCCGCGGTAAAGTGGAGGAGCTGTAGTAGGGGGCTGATTCCGTTTCGGGGATATGAGGTTGAATTCTGTTGGAGAAGGCGAGCTGTCCTCCACCTCCACTGGCCATCAGACCTGATGGGCTCATTAACTGGGAGTTCTTGCTGCTGTTTGCCTCGTGGATGTGCTTCAGAAGCTCGTCCAGCGACGTTACCTCCATCACCTTCTGAGAATAGCTCGGGTAAGGCTGGGATAGTACACGCTCAACATTGTGGATTTTACGCTCCTCTAGATGCAGGTGACCCACTACTGGCTGCCCATTGGACATGCCATGGGAGTAGGGGAAGACCTGCTGGTGAAGCAGAGCTGAACTGGGCCTGGACCCGATGTTGTGAGACTTTGGTTCTTTGGCATTATTGCAGTTCTGGTTCTTTTCCCATTGATTCTTGAAGGCTTTCATACTCTTGATTGGCAGCTCAGGGGTGGAGTCTGGGGTAGGCAGACCGGACAGCTCAGAGGAGGTGTGGAGGTGATGGTTGTGAGGGTGAACCAGGTCTCCCATCATCATTCCATGGTGTATGTTTCTCCTTGGTGGGTGATGCTCTTTGCTGTTGGTAAAAAATGAATTGTAGATCTTTGGAGACGACACCTCCAGCTTGTCCTCTTTACTCTGGCTGTCCAGGAGACCGTTGAGCTTTGCCAGACTGCGGAGCGACAAAGCATGTGGGATTGGGGCTTCAGGATCTTTTGATAATTTCTTTGTCTTGTGGCCTGCGTGGTTACAGTAGCAGGAGACCAGAAAGCCGGAGACAAAGGCGCCGAGGACAAAGGCCACCAAAACACAAGCTATCAGAAGGGTGTAATGGACACTGTGATTGGTCCTCTCCAGCTCCGGAGGTCGTCTCACACCTTCAAAACAAAAGAGAAAAGGATATTTTATAAGGAATTTCTTTTTTGTTTATTGAGCCTGAACACATTTTCAAGAGCTAATATAGATTCAAGCAGCACCTGGAACAGACAGCTTGTGTTACAGGGGCTTCATATGTGGGAAACAGCATGGAAAAAGTGTTTGAACTATGCTCTCAGCGTTCTCTTTTCCAACAGTTAATAGATCAATACAACCTCCCTCTCTAGGCCCTGTCCTTCCCTTTAGCACGGCAGAAGCAAAGACCTTCCCAGTCGGTGAAAAAAAAAAAACCTGCTTTGAGATGAGTTAGACCTTCAAGTATTGATGGAAGCGCAGCAGCAGGAACCTGATTTCATTTTCAGACTGATCTTCGATGCAAAGATAGGGGGCAAAAACACCTGGTATGAATGAGCCAAAAATAATGATCCAATACCTGACTGAGTATCATGATTATACCGACATGAACTCAAATGAGGTTGGTAAAGTTTAACAAAATGAAGCCAAGAGGCCATTTGTGCAGCAGTGCACAAAAAATCCTCAAGGTTACTTAGCTGGGTTCAATCTTTCATGTAAATGTCTTCAGGTGTTGTGACCCTCGCACTGTGTTTGCCTAATGGCGTGAAAGGCAGAGATGATGAGAAGAGTGAAACCTGCCACCTCTCGTAATCAGAGCTCATTTGCAAAAGGCTGCTGCCATCTGTGGTGTCAGACCCTTCCATCCAGCCTTAATGACAATTTCTGTGAAACTGATTAGTCTGTCAAGGGGTGGGATGGCAGAGCTGCAGCGAGGAGGGAGGAAAAGAATGCAGCTGTTCAGAGCAAGAAAATTTCACATTAATGAAAGATTCTTTGAAGAAAACAAAACAAAAAAAAACTGCTTAATCAGGGTTAATGAGAACTTATGAGATGTTTAATGTGAGGATGAGGAGGATAATGAAAGGAAAAACTGTTATAACTTGGCTTGCATTTCTTTTGTTTGTTGAGTTAAATTAAGAGCCTAAAACCTTCATGAAACTCAATTCTAGATTATTCCTATTTTGAAATACACAAAATATTCATTGATTAACAATTTAAAAATTATATAAATTTAAACATTCTATTATTTTTCTTTATAAAATCATTTTTGACAGATTATATTGCGTAAAAATGCAGTGAAATTGATTTCTCTCTATTGTAGATATAATGTTGATGGTCACCTGTTTGAAGTTTATACGAGGAGTGTTCCATTGTCTTTGCCTTTCACAACACAAAAGTCAACTTTTGAGCAGGTACAGGCTCATCTCACCTGCTCAACACATTTCAAAGAACACTTTACTAAAAAAAAAGCTCTGGAGCACGATATTTCTGAAAACAATGCTTTCAAGTAGAGATTCCAATTGAAAGTTCACAATTTTTTAGCCATTTATCCTCACAATTGCCTTGACTTATGATTGGATTTAAAAAGCCATTAATCATCATTTTAATCTGAGTGGGGAACATCTTTCAAAAATGCTGCTGCAATGAGCCTTTTAATATATTTAATCTTAGATTATAATATTTTTTCTGATTAAAATACTTGCCAATCAGCTCTGGATTGTCACAGCAGTTCCAGAGTTTTGGAGCTAACTGATTGGCGACCCTGTTGTCGTGACAGAATGAAAGCTTTTGTGAGGAGCAGTTAAAGTCTGCTCTGGTCTCTGTGTGCAGTCTGCCTTCTGTCAACCCCTGTGGCTTCCTGGTACCGGTGAGTCATCTGCTCCCTCTGGACCTCGACACCTACCCACCAGCTTTTCCTACAGGCCCATTCAGGTGTTCCTCCTGGCCGAGGGGTATGAGTCAAGCGACGCAACAGGGAGTGAAACACGCAGCTGAGGTAAACAAATCCAGAGCCCATGAGTGACCTGTCACAACGTGTTTCATGAGCAGGCTGGAAGACTCAATCATTGCTCATGTGGGACATATGGTGCCACTGGTCACAGTGAAATTAATACCCTGTGAATCAGGCCGACTGCCTGGAAGTTGCAAGGTGGTGCACAGGAGGCGATGGCCAAACAGTCCAACCAACTTAACGTTATTTTCATTGCTTCATGTGAGGGGCTTATAGCAGCATGCTTATATAACTCCTTAAATTGTCGGCTTAAATTGTCACTTTCACTAAAGGGGATAATTATTGCTACTTTGCATTCATGCCACAACTTGGCATTAGTGTTTACACAGCTTCAGAGTCAGTTTTTTTTTCTTTCTGTGTCAAGACAACTAGGTCTTGGATCAGCAGAACCTTAATATAGCAATCGTCAAGTCTGCCAAAAGGTAAAAAAGACAGATGGGCTGCATGAGATGAGGCAGAGAAGGGAAGGTATGAGATTTGCAGCCAGAAGGAGATGAGAAGATGAAATTTAATAAATCCAACCTTGGTTAAAGAGGGGTGTGACGGTGAAAGGAAACAAAAAGTTTGAATATCATGGAGCACCAAAAAAAGTGCAAAGGAGCATGTTATGGAGAGGCAGACGTGGTGGGGTGAGTGACAGACCGTCTCTCAGTTGGGGCTTTGAGCCTTGGTGTTCTGCAGCAGCTGTGATTTGTCATCAGAAAAAAAAGAACAACTCTTGAGCTCCTCCACAATGTTGGAGGAAGAGAAGCACTGTGTGATTGCATCTATATTGTTAAAAATAGACAGTGCAGTATGGTTATGTAAACAAGCAGCAGCCTCTGTTTAACTAACTGCTTCTGGTTCCTGACATACAGAAGGTCTGCAGGCGATGAAAGTTAAAACAGTAAAAGCGATGGTTTTAAAACTGTGCGAATAATTAAGAAATAATTGCTGACTTTTTATCATCAGCCACAAATTGGCACCAATTATTAAATTAGAAATGAGCAATTAGAAAACTGAAGATTTGCACAATATTAGAGTATTAAAACTTTTTGACTCTAAAACATTTACAACCTTTTTTTAAATGCATCCTTAACTTCAGGACCGTATCAGACTGCTTCTATAGATGCGGTTAAATGCTTTGAAACCAGGAGACCAGGTTCTATTTTTACCCACCAAGTGAAGATGTTCCAAAATAGTCCTAATTAGTTTCTGCTTCTGCAATCTTACAAGTGCGAGTGATAGTTCCATTAAAGGAGGCTCCATCTCAATGAGAAAACCAATGAAAGAAAATAGCTCCAGGCCTCACATACAAGTGTTATTCCCATTCTCCTACTAACGCTGAAGATTTATTTCTCTCACACCCAGAAAAACAATTTAGTTCTTGAAGGACACCTGGAGGTTAAAGATAGAAACAAATGAGGGTTCCTCTGCCTCGTTGTTGGGAGGTTTCAGTAAACTAACTATTTCAGAAAGCCGTGTGTGCAACGACAGGTAGCAAACAAACTTTAGGTGTCTTTGTGCACATTTTCACACACGCCGAACTGCTCGTGCGCAGGTTTCTGGCTGTTGTCGGAGTAAATTTAATCATGTACACTTGTTATTATGAATTTGCATATTATTCCACCTCAATGCTCAGCCATTTGCATGCGTTTGAACATATGCACACAAACTAAGGCGATACGATGTAATCTAACAAATTCACTTCAATTGAAAAGTTGTAATGAGCGATGCATTTCATTCCTGGTGTGCTGATGCGTACACAGTAAAGATTTCATTACATCTTTCATTAAATACCAATAAATCAGGCATGCTAAAGCACCTGGAAATCAGGGCCTTCAGCTTGTATACAGTACCTTTGAGGAGAAGCAGGAGCTTTAAAAGTGCAGTGGGTACTTTGCTACACAGTCATGTGTGCTTGAATAGAGCTTTTATTCTTGTTACTAAAAAACACATTTGCTAAACTTTTATGCAGATAATTTAATCTTTATTTATTCAGCTTTTAAGATATCCATCATAAAAGATTGTGCTGCCGTTGCACCAAACATAATGTGGTTTTCTTTGCACTGTTTGCAACAAAAAGTAGAAATGTCTAAAACGGACGTCTGAACACTTTGACCAATGAAAACTACCTTTTTTATTATTTTTCTAGAGACAGATATCTCAAAATTCAAAATAAACTATGTGCATCATTACCAACTAAATGTTTATTAGAATTGCACAACTATGGATATTACCTGTACAACTCATTAAACTTCACAAGATGCATGCACAGAGTCCTTTAATATTGCATGCAACTGCACCAGAAACAAAAAGAGCTACTGTTTTTTGGCCATTCAGGTGGTTGGCAAGGCAAAATCCTTCCAGTACGACTGCTGCTGTAATTATGTGCAAATGAAGAGTAAAATGTAGAACTGGAAGAATTGTGGCTTCACCGACCAACTTAAAGAGACAGTCCACCCTAAAGTCACTTTCCTTGAAGCTTAATTACAATATTTACTGTATAAAATGAAGAAAGGAAAGTTTTTTTGTTTGGTTTCCAAATAAACAATAAATAAAACAATTACAGTTCTTGCTTTGGAGTGAACTGCTGCTTTAAGAGATGGAGAAACTTGCAGGCCACCGCAGCACCTGAGCACAGTTTCAACCACCGGCTGGAAACTTAGTGAGGCAGATCTTTAAAAAAAAGACGAGACTGACGAGAGTCAGTGGAAGAGAATTCAACAAAGGAGGCAGGTACACTTAAAAAGGGTTAGTCCAACTGAAAACAGAACAAGGGAAAAAATAAAACAGGCAGATGAAGCCCCAGAGGTCAGTGCAGACTGAAGGGTGAGGAGGTTAGGACGAGGAGCTGGTACTTCTGCTCAGGTGGATTTGGTCACTGTGGGCCCCGCAGACTATAGTGACACTCAGACCTGGGTTATAATGACTAACGTAGCATAAAAAGCTGTTTAAATTGAACCAATTGTACCTTTAAAATGTTTTTGCAGCAGTTGCTGGTAAGCTGAGAAGATGGAAACTGGTGCAGCGCCTCCTGACACAAACCAGGTGACCTTCTATGGCACGGTGTGAGGGCCAAAATTAAGACTATTGCGCTATCAGTGGTTGCTACATCCTTGTAGCAAGAGGCTATATCTATTCCTAAGCCAGCTAGTGATCTGATTAATGATAGGCTAGCCCTGCTAACTGAGCAGCTAGCCCCAGTAACAGAGGCGGCGCATGCAAATGAGAAGACTATTCATTTGCGTTAGCATCGGAGAGGCTAGCAATTAGCATGCATACGCTGTCTAGTCTTAATTTTTCCTCATACTGTGCCATAACCTTTGTCTATGACTGTGACTCAGGTAGTTTCAATCAGCTGAGGTGTTTCAGTGAAACGCATCATGGTGATAAATCAGAATCAGCCGGGAGGTCGACATAAATGAACGAGATGAGCTAAACAATCTTTATTTAACTACACACATGTTCTGACTATCAAACTATTGAATGACCCTTAAGTATTTAAAACTCTTTTACGCCGTCTGCAGTTTGAAAAACATATCAGCTAATCATAAATCGATCAACTTTAACAATATGGACCGTTTTAGAGTAGGAGATTAAACTTTAAGCAGCAGCTTTGAACACATTTTATTGCTATGTTGAAATTTTTGGTGATAAGTGTTTGGTTCAGTGATACATAAATATTGTTTTTAACTTTTTTCTTTCATATTCTTTACATTCTCTAGTAATTTAAGGATTATAAACAAGACAAAAATGTAAACAAACCACACACTAGTGAAGTTTATTTCTGGCTTCATATGAGTGCCCTCTTCTCTGACAGTTCTTATAAAAAGAATTGACATATTTTAAAAACCCTACAGATTTGTGCCTTTTTGTCCTGATGTGACATGCAGCTTCTTTGAGGATCAGATAATGTTGGGATAGTTAGAGGGGAAACACAAGCCGAGCTGAATGACTGATGATACGGGCCGTGTCTGTTGCCATGGTCTTTAGAAGTATAAATAACCCTTTGGAAAACTGGCTGGCATCAGGGTCCCCCCTAGGAAACCAGATCCTCGATGAAAAGGTTCAGGCTGAGTTCACTCTCTGCTCTCTTCCTGCAACTCTTTTAATGAGACTGAAAACACCCGCTTGACTCCATTCTATCATCATCTCCCTGTGCTAGTCAGCTGAATTAGCCACTAGCATTTAAAAAAAATCCAGTTCAACCCACACCAGTTCATGTAAATATGTGAGAGGAAGTCCTGCTCAACTCATTTATTCTGTTCTGAGGAAATGAAGAGGTGAGTGTGATCTCCAGCCAAAAGCAGCTTCGGATAAACCAAACTTCTCAAATGGGGGTCTCTGCAGTCAATAAGTCGGGGTTTCATGGTAGTGGGTGGAGTTTTGATAAGCTGTGATTGGTCCGATTGAGTTGTGGGCGGAGTTTGGGTAAAGGCAGCAGGGGAAGATCAGATCGCTAACTTTACAAATAATAACGTTAGTCGTAACTTGAGACGGGATGGCGCTACAGTAGCTGCACCAAATTTGAACATTGTACATGTGGAGGGATGTGTAATAATTAAACTCAGTCAAAACAGCCCTAATCTGCCTGGAAAAAGATTGTTATTGTAGAATATGAATATTAATATTGGTCGGAAATTCAGACAGGAAGATGCTAGCATCAAATTTGAAGTCAATAAATCATACATGTTCACAATTTTTTTAAATTTTGTTTTTAACCAATAAATAGGCAGTAAATAAATTATATTTACATGTTGAAGACAACTTTACCATTACTTCATCTTTTAACTTCCCATCAAGCTATGCCCACATCCAAAAAACTCCCACTTACTGACTGCAGAGACCTCCGCCCCGACCTTCTGGCATTTTTCTAAATAGCAGCAGGTCAACAGGTTTGCATAATGTAATGCAGCTACACATATTAGAGAAAATAAATCACATCATGCTTTTTATCTAACCTAAACTGAGCCTCGTGAATGGTTCCACAGTTTAACCCGTTCAGTGAATTAAGGCAGTCTGCTACTGTTGAAAAGACATCATGTCAAATAGTTAAACTTTACCTGTTGTTATCAGTCACCCAACGAGGGCCACTTTGACGTGATGTTTGGACAAAAATATCAATATTTTAGAAATTAAAGACTATGCATGAGAACAATTCACCTTGCCAGAGTCACATATGTACTATTTTGCCTGGAGTGTTGTAAAATTTGACTTTAGGTATCTGTCTCACTCTTCACTGGTTGTTCTATTTTTAGCTGTATCTGTGCTCGGCTGTCTGCTGGCCCACCTTGTGGTTGCTGTGATATGTGATACATTTGCAAAACTTTTGCAGGCGATACGGACAGAAAGTCAGATAGCTGGTATAAAATGGACACACAAAGAGGCTGAAGCCACTGTTGGAACAGCGATCCTGTTACTGGCACAGCAGCTCCTCTCCCACCTTATCAACCCAGCCATTCAGCTATTCTGATTGAAGCAGTCATGTCATAGTCTCTGGCTGAAAAAGATTGTGCTGCAGCTTTTTATGATTCTATTCTATACCTTCCTCTTTCCTGGATTCTCTGACTCCAGAGTCCTGCTGCTTGTTTATTTGTTCTAGACTTTTTGTATTTAATCCTGAATAGCTCATCATTACAGTCTGAGCCTGCCTGTGTGAATGTTTTTTTTCTTACTTGCTCAGGATTTTTGGATTTGTGGTGTGGTCTTTGTGCATGCAGAAACAAAACGAGGACAAAATAGCCTGTCGTGCTGCTTTGTCTTTGTTGCATGTACAACAAATAAGGTTTTTACTAAAAACAAGAACAAAAAAAACTTTAGGAAAATTTAGATCAAGATAATGTATTTGTTATCATAGAGTCTCAGAAATATTATAATTCCTAACAGTGAAATAAATATCTGACATGCTTGTAATTTTCATTAGTCAACAAAGCAAGTGTCAAATAATTACAAAAAAGTTATCAAGATTTGATTAAACTCATTGGACCTCCACAGGCTGTGGTAATTTAATTGTTAGTTGATCAGCCTAATATTTCCAAAGCAGTAGGTGTTTTCTGAAGATTTTTTAGAAATGACAAATCAAACAACAAATTATATCATAAATTTATAAACAACAGGTGCAGGAATTCTGCTTCATCCAAAGCCATAATTAGATTAAATGGTTTTCCTAAACTTAATAAAGTAGTATCATTTCTTAACCAGTAAGATTTAGGGCCACAATATAACAAAGTATATTACTTACACATAAGCAAAGTATTTAGATTTTTAGTAAACTAATTAGAATGAGTGCCTCTTCATTAACTTAAATGTATTTGATGCTGAAACCTACTCAGATTTATCGCTAAAAATCCAACAAGATCTCCATAAACCTAATGTAGTTTAAATGTCTTTACCTTACCAAATTAGAAAATAACAAATGTATTAATAGCAATCTGTTCCCTGAAGTGACCCAAGCAGTCGATGCCTAAACTCTAACCAGTTGGTGACAAAGGTGTGAAGTAAAAAGTGATTTCACTTTTTATAATAAATGATACAAGTTGGCATTTGAACAGTTCAGGATCTTTGAATAAAAACAGGAAAAAAAGAGAAAAAGAAAAAAATGAAAAGAGGAAACAGGGAGACTGCCATGCTTTTATAACCAGTTTATGTAAATGTAAGAAGATTTGTATATTAAAAAAAGATAAAAGATAGAAAGGACTGTTTTTTATAACTAATAAGTAAAGTAATGAGCTGATCCAGCTTTTGTTTACAATAGAACATGTTCATCTCATGACTGAGATGGATCAGATGATTCTTGGATATGTTTTGAGGTCACTGGACTCGAACTTAGGATTTATTTCTGAACGTGGTCCCATGTGATCCACAGATCTCACAATCCTGAGCTTCAGTTAAAGCAGGCTGGGAAATTACACATCACTTCATGTAACAAACTACCTGAGTGATAAAGGTTAATTAGCAATGTGTTTTAGATTTAGTTAAGTGTTAGTAAGTGAAAACAAGTGATAGTTCACCCTGGAATAACTGTTTTATTTATTTACATGCTTCTGGAGGTGCTGTTTTATCATCCAGATTCATCTTCTTTCTATTAAACAGCGTCTCTTATAACTGATCCCAAAACAGAAAATTTAGTTTCAACAACTACAACGACAAAGAGACAACATGTGCGTCATGAAACAGATGATTCAGAAGCTAAAAAATTAAAAATATAAACAGTTGTACCAGAGTGAATTATTATTTATCTTTTCATTTTATTTAGATTTTTAGTTAGTCTGGTTAGAAGTGTAGAGTTAGGCGATCAGGGCCCAGCAGTGAAATCCCCAGCAGGTCAGAGTTTAACGAGGACAAATGTCCCCTCCCCCTTACCCTCCATCTCCACACTGATTGGCTCTGAGTCAGGTGAGCCTTGTTCCCCCACAGGGGGGAGGCGATCAGGACCTGTACCTCTTTCAGAGTCACCTGCCTCCTTTGGGAATGCTGCCCCATGATGGGTAGTGCTGGCGCTTGTGGGGGTGGTCTTCCCTGTTGGTTGTAGTGAAGAGGGAGCAGGAGGGGGGAGGGCAACAGAGCGAGTGATTAGTGAATGTGAATCAGTGTGGTGAATCAACTTCAGAGAAATGAGGATGAGTCTTGAGCGAGAGAAACCCTTTAGTTGTTACATTACGACCCTGAAATGATGAGTGGCATAATAAACACACAGCAGCAGTTAAATACGTCCGATTTTATAGTTTCCCTCTTACGCTTTGAGGATTTTAATGGCTTTTTTGCACAAATTAAAGGTCTGCAGATAGACCAAGACCAAGGCCAACACTAAAGAGAAATACCCTGCTGTTCATATTGCAGGATGTTCTTCAGTTACATAACACCACCAATACAACATATGACTGATGTCAGCTTAAAGGCTAGTTCTTAAAAATGTTATTTACACGCCAGTTAAAAGCAGAATGAGCCTTTTGGAAGAGGTGTCTCCAGTAGGCATGAGCTAGTGTTAGCTTTTGAACTTTTAAAGCATTTAAATGATCTCTAAGAAGCCCTAAAACTAATTCCTAAAACCTGAAAAGAAGCAAAAGTGCCAGTTCTTTAATGATGTGAACGCGTATCATTTTTTCTTCTGCATGTCTTTATTGTTCTGCAAATTTTGTTCTATTTTAACATTTTATGTATTTCAAAACATTCCTTCATGTCAGTTACTGCAATGACTTTTAATATTTCAGCAATTTATATATTTCAAGATATTTTGTTTTTTCAGCCAATTTTATCATTGAAAATGAATGGAGCGGTCTTCAACATCCTTAAAGTCTTAGAAAATGTTTATAAATTTTTACTAAAATTTTTCCTCTTATTCTGGTTTTGTTTTTCTTTATAACTGCTTCGTACTAATTTCAGCTTCCTTCAGCTTCTATTTTGCTTATTTTGGATTTTGTTTCTGCTTTTAAGCCATCGTTCTGACTGTCTCTGCTGTTCTGCTAATTTAATTTTTTTGTGCTTCTTTCAGCTGCTTTCAGCTAATTTTAGCTGTTTGCAATAATTTCTGCTTCTTACTTCTTAATTCAGCAAATGCCCAATTTCTTTGTGCCAATTTTAGCTACTTTTTTAAACCTATTGTTAGGCTAGTTTCAGCTTTTTTTTTTAGCTATTCAGCAAAAATCTTTTAGCGTTAAGCATTCACTCTGTATTTTCACAGAAAATGCAAAATCTCTAGTTTTACATGCACAAACGGCATTTTATTTTGGGTAATTGAGAACAAATATTTGGGCATATATATTTATTTACTGTATAATATTTGATTAAATCACATTTATCAAAAGAAAACTCTTAAAATATAAAATTATGTTTCACAGTTTAGATATTTTTAAACAAAAACATTTTTTAGTAAGCTGCTCTGATTTGCTACAGTTAAAACTCCACACTTGCTGTGGTGATAGGTGACAGATAACACAAAAGGACAACTGATATTACCAACTTTTAAAAACTGTTACGGCCAGCGGTCTTTCTTCTATGTTTATACTAAAGCATGGAATGACATTCCTCAAAAMATAAAGTCMWTTYMAAA